GCCTTTGATGCTGTTTCCCACAGCACTCTCCTGGAGAAACTGGCTTCCCATGGCTTGGATGGGTGTACACTTCACATGGTAAAAAACTGGCTGGAGGGCTGGGCCCAAAGAGTAGTGGTGAATGGAGTTAAATCCAGTTGGCGGCTGGTCACAAGTGGTGTTCCCCAGATCTCAGTATTGGAACCTGTTCTCTTTAATATCTTCATCAATGATGAGGGCTCATCAATATCTTTATCAAATCAATATCTTTATCAATTATTTATCAATAATATCTTTATCAGGATGAGGGGATCAAGTGCACCCTCAGTAAGTTTGCAGATGACACCAAGTTGGGCGGAAGTGTTGATCTGCTTGAGGGTGGGAAGGCTCTACAGAGGGATCTTGACAGGCTGGATCCATGGGCTAGGCCAATGGGATGAGGTTCAACAAAGCCAAGTGCCTAGGCCTGCACTTGGGTCACAACAACCCCATGCAACGCTACAAGTTGGGGAAGGGTGGCTGGAGAGCTGCCTGGCAGGAAAGGACCTGGGGGTGTTGGTTGACTGTGGGCTGAAAATGAGCCAGCAGTGTGCCCAGGTGGCCAAGAAGGCCAACAGCATCTTGGCTTATATCAGAAATAGTGTGGCCAGCAAGACTAGGGAAGTGATCATCCCCACATACTCGGTCCTGGTGAGGCGGCATCTGGACTACTGTTCAGTTTTGGGCCCCTCATCACAAGAAAGGTGTTGAGGTGCTGGAGCGCATCCAAAGAAGAGCAATGAAGCTTGTGGAGGGTTTAGAGCACAAATCTTATGAAGAGCGGCTGAAGGAAATGGGGTTGTTTAGTCCGGAGAAAAGGAGGCTGAGGGGAGACCTTATCGCTATCTACAACTACCTGAAAGGAGGTTGTAGAGAGGTGGCACCACAGCAGGACACAGAGTAGATCATCCTTAGTGTATATGAAGGAATCAAAACCGAAAAAGATTAATCTGGCAAACCAGTCATACAAATAAATGTTTCTCTACACAGATTTAGGGTAGCAGAGTAAACCAGCTCCACAGTTACCTTACTTAGCAAAGGAACCTATGCTACATTTGATAACATCAGTAAATTTGTGTTTTAAAATGCAGGAACCTTGCATGGCTATTGGGACTGCACAAAAGTGAAGTGCAATTTGAATGAATATTAATTGATAATTAAACCTTCACAAAAATTGACATGTTTTCATATTTCAACGCTTCTTTCCAGGGACTGTTACATGGCAAAGGTAAAAATTACCTGGACTATACGTAGTCTGGTTTGTTTTTCTATGAAAAAAGCTGTCATTCTGGTGAGGAAAACACCACCAGTTAAAAGTTGCAAATCTACCTACGTTAGGGCCCTGAATCCTCTCTTGGGCAGCTAAGGAAAAGTTATCTTATTTTAAGAAGCGATTTACATCTGCCTGCCGGTCCAATGGGCAGACTGTTAGGAGATGATGGCTTCTCAGACAGTCCTGCTTTTCCTTCTTAAATCTGGATTTAGGAACCTAACTTCAGTTTCACTATTGAAAACCAATGGTGTTTGTTCAGGCAGCAATTTGCCTACCAAATTCTACTTGCAGAGCTATACTAATTTTCTCACTAAGGCTGATGAACCAGTATTTACACAAATGAAAAGAACATACTAATCTCTTTTCAAAGACCATGAAAAAAGCTGCTGAACAAGTAGAAGGAACAAAAAAAAATGTAGGGCAAAAATATAATTTTGAGTTTCTGTGAAGATATCACACACAATATAAGCGAGACCAATCTCACAACAGAACCTGACATTAAAAAAGATTAAAGGGGGAAAAAACACACAACCCAATCAAGTTGGTAAAGCCTAATTAGCAAAGACCCACCCAGAGATCAACAAAATGCATTCTTTTCATTTTGTAGTACAAAGAAGCTGCATATATTACTTGTATTAAAAAGCCTCTAAAATGAATTTAATTAACTATGAAAGGCTTGATTTTGCCTTTGGGTATATGTAAAAACAGCAGCTGATTTTACAAGATGCACTGTGATGCCTGATTGTGTAGCAAGAGAAGAATTAAAACCTTTAGGTTTCATTGCCTCTCTGGGTTTAGAGAATTTTGTGATCCAGAATTCAACTATTTTTGGCCACAGTCACAAAGCTTGGGTCAGCAGGTGAATTCAAATTCACACAGGGGCGACAGACCTTTGTCTATTTTGGAATCTGGTTTACAAGCTATGACTTGAGAGTCCTGCTTAGATTTCAGGGAGCACGCAAGAGCACTCTCCATTTGCAGGGAAAGCATGGTCAAGCCACGTGGCTGAAAGTGACAGACCTGTAAGGAATATATTACAGACACATGAAATGCAAAAGGCTGAAGATTATTACACTGATTTGGCCACACAACAATGCAAACGTCTACTATAGAGTGCTCGTGTTCCAATGGTTTAACTGTGAGCAATTCTTCAACTATGTTAATACTTTTCCACGGTTGTATAAACACAAAAGCAAAAAGGAAGATTTAGAGTGAATGAAATTAGGAAATTCAAAGGAGGTACTACTGACTGTGGAATATCTCCTCTCTTTACCTCCTGCATAGTTATCAGGGAGTCCTGGCACACACTTCTCTCCCTCCTCTCTTCAGGAGCAATCCTACAGGCAGCCACACTGGGAGTGTGAGCCTACAAACTCTGTCTGAATCCAACCTGCGGGCTCTTAGCATGCCTTGGGATCACCTCAGCCAGCACATGGGATCTCTCTCCTTGGAGACTTTAAACACTTGACTGGGAATGGCCCCAAGCAACCTGACCTAACTATGATGCAGACATTGTTCCAAGCCCAGGGTGGAGGATCCAAGGATCCCTTCCAGGGCAGCTTTTTCCGCGTCTCGGTGTAAGGCATAGTGCAGTCTCACACTTCCCTGCCAGCATTCAGATCGAGCCACTTGCCTGCATCAAATTGCCATGGATGCTCCATCACCCTGGCATATGTAAGGGCATAACCTGTCCTCTATGAGCATCTCTCAGTAGGTCCTAGCACAGACACATGAGTGCTGGAGGAAGCTGAGGCCCTCAGCCTTCCTCACAGCTCCCCCAGGATCTGTTTGCACAGATCCAGGCATTAACCAAAGTAGCAAACACCCCATTTCTCCAGGCTTGGATGGCTTGAATGTTCCAGGAGCAGAGTGGCTTCCCCCAACTCCAGACTTCTGGATACAAGCCATAGTAGATTCCCTGGACTTGTTCAAGGCCATTTCTACACCCAACGTACAGACAAAGCCAAGACGTGCCCCTCTCTGGCAGGCTGGGATACACCCCTGAATGCCAGCAAGTCCTATCAGCACTCGGTAGGCAGGAAAGCTGAGAGCCTTGACTCACACCAGCACTCACCACCCTGGGCTAAAAAGTATCCTTAGATGATGGTAAAAGGCTACGCGCAACCTCTGGCAACTCATGTCATAAGACACTTGGGGTCAAGGGAAAGACCAATTGTCCTTGGCAAGAGCCCGAACTTCTATCTTTGTGCCATTCTGTTTCCCTCACTCTAAAAACCTGTTGGAAAACAAAAGGCTATTTCAACTAGCTTAAGTAATACCGATATCCCCACACAAGCTGGTTCCTAGACATCCTAAAAGAAAATGGGGTTTGGCTTACCAAAGAAGCAGCTGACAATAAATCAGGCCCACGTGTCAACTTCAGCTTTGGCTTCAGTGACTTCTGGCAGCATTTTGGAATGTCCCCATGCTAGGACAGCAAGGTTGTCTTGAGAGCTGGTCAGCTTGACTGGCCACATCAATCATAGAATGGTTTAGGTTGAAAGGAACCTTAAAATTCATCTAGTTCCAACTCCCCTGCCATGGGCAGGGGCACCTCCCACTAGGTGACCAGGTTGCTCACAGCCCCATTCAGCCTGGACTTGACCATTAAGTTTTCCCTCATGGCATGTTCTCCTATTGCTACTGAAGAGACTCTGAATAGCATGAACAAGCAGAAAATTTGACTTTGAGGGTGATGCCAGAGGCAGATGAAACAGAACAGTGTGGATGTACCCATCAGTTCTACCTCAGCACAATTAATTGTTGACAGTAACCATGGCAAATCACTTTGAGAACACGCTTTTTTATAACAATTGAGTGGGAAAAATATTGGAAAACATATGGCAGAACACCTTTTCTCTATTGCTGTTTTTTAAATCTGTCAATGTTTTCTTTAACCTTTGATGAAACATTAACTACTATCTGACAAATATTTTGCCAGTCATTGCACAGTGGCTTTTCATAACTCAATGTTAATTTCCACAGGACTAACATAGAAAGTTTCTCTTATGTGGGAGTACAACACTGCTCTATATCAGGAAAGGAGAGAGGATGTTCTTTTGGAGAAAGCACAGTATGAATACTGAGAATTCGTGGGCTTTTTAACAGCTTTGCCATAGCTGTCCTGTTTCAGATCATGAACATATCGTTTAGATCTGCCTCCACAAGAATGTTTGACTTCCAGGGCTTTTTGTAATTACTATTTCAATGTCTTTTACTACTCTGCATGTTAGTTTCCCTATCAACAAGATCAGACTTAACATCTCACTTTTCTTTCAGTTGGGATAACAATTTTCATTGGTTTAGTAAGCCCACCCTGAGAAACCTTCAGCCTGATTGAAGATATTTCTAGGACTTCTCAAAGTGACTTTCAGATAACTTGTGCAGTGTATATGAGAGCTGACCTGTACAGTAGAGTCACAGTTTTTCTGTTCATACACAATGAAGATTTTGAGAGCTTTTAACTAAGAACTCAGACCTGAACCAAGGCATCAGCTAACAGGATGCATCTACAGGGTACACATGTAGGTATACATGCATATTGTAATTTGTATGAGTTCTTCATTATCAAGATACGTATTTTTCTCCAAGAGACTCAGATGATGCATACTTAAACAGGTATACTGCACTGTGGTATGGATGGAAAACAACGAGAAAGGAGATCACTACAATTTGCCTGTCTATGGCAGCATGCTTGAGAGCCTCTTACCTTGACATGGTGTATCAGGTGCTCAACTTCATTCACTTTATACGTCTCTATTCCTAACTCTTTAGATAATCGCAGGACACGATTTTGTGTTGGCCCCACATAAGCTCCTCCAAGGTCCACGTATTTAACTTGCTTATTCTAGTTTATGACAAAAAGGGAGGGAAAAAAAATAGCACACAAGTTAGAAGAGCAATCCAGAGGAATTATTTAAATGAAACATTCCCACAACACACAAAAAGGGAGGGGAAAAAAAAGGATTAAAAAAAGATAACTGCTTTGTAAATAGCACACAAGTTAGAGGAGCTATCCAGAGGAATTATTTAAATGAAACATTCCCACAGTATTTTGGTTATGATTCCTCTCCCCATGGAAAACTTGAATTCTTTGGTAGAGTTCTGGTGTGGTGGTTACCGAGGATCTCAGATAAGGAGTTCATAACCAGCTTAGCGGGCCTGTTGTTACATTACAGCCTTAACAAACACAAGAGGAAACAGCCTGGCAGGCAGAGAGAGAAGGACAGTCAGAGATATATGTGAGGTTCTTGCTCAGTCAAGCATCTCACCAATGAGTAGTTCGAAACAGAGCGTACTAGGAAGTAGCACAGGTAAGATTTTCTAATGAGTAGTGTGGGACGGGGTCTCCCAGGTCAAGGTAGGGCAGAAGGTAAAGGAGCAGTTCTAGTTCTAGTGGTTCTAGCCTAGACATGGAGGTCCTAGTTCCCAGCCACTTCTACCAGTCCTCTAGTCTACATGACTCCCCATGGGGCTTGTTATGGTTGTTTTTTCATAGAGACTTCTCCAGTGTCTCTTCCTGCAAAATGATTTGAAACTTAGCTAATCATCTTTTCCTTCCCAGAGGAAAGGATTGATGACTCCAGAGCCTGCAGACCACACAGAAATATTCTGTCCCCATCATCATGCTAGTCTTTCCCTACTGTTCCTGGTAAAATATCAGGAAATTTCCCACATGCTAGTGGCTCCAGAAATTTTCCCTCAAATAGGTTCTCTGGCAGGAAAGGTAAGTAAGTACATTTATATACACTATTCATACAGTATATGCATATTATACATAAATAAACACATACATGTGTGTATTATTATACAGATGTATAGTATATATTTACATATATGTAGTATAAATGGGTTTGGAGACAATTACCCTTACGGTGAAAGTTCGTCCACCAACTCTGTCATTGGCTTCCAGCAACACCACATTCAAGCCTGACTCAGTCAGCAGTTTGGCTGCTGAGAGACCTAAAAGATAAAAAGAAAAACAATTAAAGAATACTTCCGTATATGCACCCCATGGCTTTTCTGACTTGACATGTAAACACTCACATAGCTATCCATCTAAGTCCTGAACTTTTCATTCAAACACTTTGACAGGTGGTGAGATGGAATTAAAAAAAAAAAAAACCACAATAAGCATGAAACAGAATTGAAGCCACATTAAAACAGTTCGTGGTCCAATTTTACATGTGTTGAGCACCTTTTGCACCACATGATCAGCTCTTCCGATGCACAAGCCAGCACTTGCTATGATAGTCATCCAGCCAGGCAGAGAACTCAGGGAGGACAGCTTTCTGTTTTCTAACAACAGCATGTCATCTTTTCTAACCCAAACAAAAAAAGGATGAAGTGAAGTTTTAATAGGACTGTCCTAAATTTCAAAAGTTTTCCTGAAGCTTATCGTAAAATATTCAGAGCTGTAAAGCAGACGTCTAAAGCACGTTAGCAAAGTTCCCAAACAGTCAGGTCACAGGTTTCTTCTCCTGAAGAACACATGGCGTGACTCAGAAGAGACAGAATGTGCACTTGTGTGTGGCAACAAGAAGAAAAAGTATGGGTAACTGTACCCCAGAAAACCTGCTTCATTCCTCATCCATTTTCTTCACACAGTTTTATTTCCATCTTGCAATTCTTGAAGCTGCGACAAGAGAGGGAACAACGGGAATACAGAAGGGAACATTTTGTTTTAGTTCTGATGTCATGAATCCTCATAAATCCACAGAGGAAAATATTAGCATCAGGCCCTACAGCGTGTCAAGCCACTATGGAAGGAACGGAACTAGAAAGGGTGCACAATATGGAGCAAATACAGCCCGTAACCTCTCAACTTCTTAAGATCATCTCTGCCTTTTACTTCAGCACACAAACTGAGATTTGTATAAACTGAGGCTCTTATTTGGCCACGTGAGTGAATTTGTAGTGGGACAACAAGAGTTATATTCTAGAGAATTTCATCATCCTCTTGAACTGACAGGATGTGTTGAATAAAGTTCAGCACAGGCCAGGCTAGAAGCCATACTGATACATCACAATTGAGCAATCCTTTCTGGCTCTCTGTCTTGTCACCATCAGAAGGCAACCAGTTTCCTCTCTGTGTCCTAGTACATGTAGTTTTGATAAGGAGTCATCCAAGCAGAGTGTTCCAAACATAAGACAGCCATGGAAGAAATGGCAAAAGTGCTGGCAGGAAAAACAGATGGCCAAAGCAACCATAGCAGGACTGAATGAAATTGTAATGAAGAAAATATAGCAGCCTTGGATAGAGAAAGAATATTAATAAGAGCTACTAAAGGTGCTAAAGAACATCCTCGTCATCAAGTAGTGGCTTGGGAGTAAGAGAGCCATGTCCTGTTCCCAGCACTGCAGCGAACCTGCTGCACTGTGCCAGTTAAATCACATAAGCCCTTTGCTTCCCCATCTGTAAAAAAAGAGACAATGGTGTAGACCTATCTATCTAAACGATTTGACATTTTCTGAAGAGAAGCAGCAGATGTTTCCATTAAAAGATCATACTGTCCTGCTTTTATTTCTAGCTTCATGGGCTTATTTATCTTGGGTTTTCACATAAGTACTTGTGAGAAAAACAGTAATGACACTGATAAAGGTCTCTCCATACTTCCTTATTGAGGAAATTATATTGCAAAAACATCTGGCTGGATCAGTGGCCTTGACTTCACTCACAAATATTTGAAGATACCAAGGAAGAACAAAATACAGAAAACAGTCATGGTATGCAAACACAGACCACCCCTTCAAACAACTTGCAAAAAGATATTGACTCCGGAAGGAAAAATAGGCAACAAACCTCCTAAATAAATATAGCTTATCAGTTAAAGAAAAAAAAAGTTGCTTTTCAAAAAAGACAAATATTTCATCAGTTGGGAGAGGATCAACAGTAGTTATTAATAATTTACAGAATCAATACATAATCTGAAGGCTGTTGTCACTGCAGGTTTATGTTGGCTTATCAAGCTAACAGGCACCGACTAATCAATTAATAACATTCAGTAACCAACACTGATTAAGGAATATGAAATTTGACTTTCTTTATTAAAATTTAATGAATGAACATTTAAGTACAGCTGGGAACAAAGGCAGTTTATTCCCAAGAGCTGAATAGATGGAGAATCTTGTGAAAGGATAGGTCTCTAGATTCAACTGAAACGCAGCCGATTTGCAGTGGTCAGCCCAGATGCCATCTCCCTGTTTCCTTATGCACCTTTCAACCACCCTGTTGCACCTACCCACTATTTACTCCTGACTGTTTATTTTGGGGCAGATGCCATCTTTTTTTTTCTCCATCCATCCACAAATGTACCTGTTAGAGATGGATAACAGTTTACTCCTTCCTGATGACGCAAATACAAAAAAAATCAAAACCAGTGTGGAGGGGAGGATCAGGCTCTTTAATATCTCACTGCCCCATGACCATCCTCCAGCAAATCAGATCTCTGTAGTGAGAGAGGTGTGTCCTTGGAGCTTGACTCCACAGTGGAAGTTGCTGTCTACAGGGTTCCCAAACTAAGCACACTTCTCTCACCTACATGACACCTCTATTCTGGTCCAAAGTTTGCCAGAGAAATTATGCAGATAATTGCTGTCACAGGTGGGGAACACAGCCAGGCTCTAGCTCTTCCTCTCCCTCACCACAAGCGTGTAACGGGGAAAAAAGGTGGAAGAAGAGGGTCAGAGTGAAGGACCAGGTTAGGTCTCAGAGCAAGCACAGTACAGGACAAGGCAAGACTGCTGTCACAGATACCAAAAATAGCAACATTCTTGCCTGTTAATATTGCACTGCAATGTGGTATCTCACACATCACCCCGCACCCGTTCCTTTGAGATGGGCCCAAGACCCCAAATGGGCTCTTGGACTACTATAATAACAGAGAGAGGAGTGGATGCTGCAGAGGGAGAGCTCCAAGCCAAAGTGATACAAGGACAGATAAGGCACCAGGAACAGCAACAAAAACATATTAAAATGGAAATGAATACTCGTACATTAATATGGGAGGACAAGTTGAGGTTTGCTTTTCAGAAAATAGAAATTACTGCAGGAAACTCCTACAAACCACAACCTCTTTCCAGAGCAAGAGTCAGAGCGGCCTCTCTTGTGCTTAATACTCCAATTGCAACAAACAGAGCATACACGAAGCATGCAATGCAAAGCCTGGAAAAATCTGTCATACGTGATGTAAGATCTCTTCTTGAGAAGTTTAACCCTTCACAAGTGCCACATTTCAGCACTGCCTCCGGCTTACCTCTCACTCTCTTGCACATCACCAACAAAAGGCAGATATTTAATATTGCCCCCATCCCTCACAAGTGAGGCAAACAGCCACATTCAAATGCAAAGTTCTTCCAAAAACATAACTGATGCTGTTATTACTCCTACTTCACACACAATGTTTTGCCACCCAGTGGCACCTTCCCCTCCTCCCCAGGACCATTTCAAAGCAATCAGATCTGAATTGCAATATAAGGGCTCCACCACTTTTGCCACTGCTTCACAGAGGCCAGTAATTGGGTCCAATTTCCATTGTAGGTCAGCTTTCTTCAAGGGGCAACAAAGAGCCATATATATATATATATATGGCAGAAAACATATGGTTAAGCAGCCTCACCTGCAGTGCAACTCAGAGAACTGATAGGCAGATAATTAATGCAAACAACAAAGAAGCAAAGATGATAGGTCTTATTTGAAGCCAGAGACTGAAAATACCATTGTGCTTAGAGGATGTTTAACCAGCCAAGCCTTCATCCGTTCCCATAGCAACCCGGTACCCAACCGCAGCCACTCAGAGATACTGGTGAGAGATTGCCTCCCCCAGATTTTTATAGTGCAAGTTCAAGACATGAAAATCATTTCCCCATCATGCAGCACTCCATGTTCACACAGATCTTACTCAATTGTACTAATCACAATAATTATTTCATCTTCAGTTCAAACTTACTTCTTTCCTGATTGATGCCTCTGTACCTGCTAACCATCTTAAATTGCACCATTGGATTACACAGCTTCATTATAACCTCACTTCCTAATGTTAACATCTCTCTTATATTAAGAGAACAACTAATTCAGTTTTTGTTTGGTTTTGGTTGTGTGAGGTTTTTTTTAAGAGAAAATCTTAGATTTCTGTGCTAGGGCAGAACCCAAACTCACATTTGGATTGACAAATGGGACGAGACTTACATTTTTCATCTGAATCCATGTATTATGGACTACAATGAAGCCCTACAGTCAAACTTATCTGACTATCTAAATAACATTTTAAAGTAAATTTTTAAAAAAACTCATTGAAATTTTTTAACACCAGTTTGATTCTGCCTGGAATCAGCAAATTGACTGAAATAGCCATTTAACCTTAGCATTTCCACAAAAATTTCACAAGAAAGGACAGGATTGGAAGTTGCATCTCTGATGTGTCTCTAAATGATACTTGTGCCTTCTTCCATTTAAGTTTGGGTTGTTTTGTTGTTTTTTTTTCATAGGGTACTTCTGTCATTCTCTGTACAGCTAGACAACCGATACACAACAGCAAGTGAATTAGCAAGCTTTTATTTCTCCCTTGGGCTACACCCAGTTCCCTTTTAGTGTACAAGGGACAGGGCAAGTAACTTGGAAGGGGATAGATTATAAAGCTGTAAATAAAGTTTATTTCTGAAGGCATTTCTGCAGTTCTTAATGTACTTTCTCTGTATTATTCACTACTTTATTGTGTTCCCCCATATTTACTCTCTTCCTTCTAAGATACAAAAAATAAAACCCACCTCTTCTCTCATATATGTAATTATAAGTATCATCTACAAATTCTACATTTAAATTCATGTAGGGAGCAAAGAAAGAGCCTCTAAGCTACTGCCATTCATTTAATTGCTTCTAAGATGTCTGTCAAAAAACTGTTTACTTTATAACCTTAAGAATTTCTCTCTCCAACTAAAATTGTTTTTGAGCAGGAACATAAACT